CTTCTCCCCTGGGCTCAGTCATGCAGCTGCATTTAACTGGGATCTCAGTTGGATTCAGCTATTCAAGCTGCCGTCAGACCTATACCCAGAAGACCTCTCTTCTCAACTGGGTAGCCAAATTCTTCACACAGTGCTTATAGTCTATCTTACTTTACTTGTCTCTGGGACACGATGCTTGACACGTGCAATTTAAAGGAGGAGGGTTTTATTTTGGCTGAAGTTTTACAGAGGTTTTAGTCCAGTCTGCTGGCCCCAGGACCAAAGCAGCACCGGGGAAGGGGCTGGGTGGAGGAAAGCTGCTCCCATCTTGCTGTCTGTGAAGCTGAGGAGCAAAGAGAGGACCTGAGAGAGAGAGAAACCCTTCCAGGCCATGCCCCCGGGACCTGCCACTTCTGGGCTAAATCCCGTGCTTTAATAGCAACTTACCTCTAAGTCCCCATAATCCAATTGCCTTCCAAAATCCAATCACCTGCCTACGAGCACATGCGACTTTGGGGAATAACTAGATATAAACCCTAACATGGTCAAAGAGAGAAAGTGGGAGCTGCCTAGCTTCTTAAAATCTGGGCTGTAAAGTCTAGGAATGTCACTTTTGCTGCATTTTGTTGATCAGAGCAACAGCTGGGCTTGTGCCCAGGCAGCAGAGACACCTCACCTCTGAGTATATGCCGAGAGGGAGGGGAAGATTTTGCAGAATCAATGCCAGAGCCCATGGGAGAGGCAATTGCAATCCTGTCATTGGATTACATTCCAACCTGTACATATTTTCCACTGAATAAAGTGGCTACGTTCACTTTTTAAAAGCTGAATGTTTTAAAATATTTTGAAAATGTTACTACAACATATTGTTAAAGATTTGACAGAATCTGTGAAGGGCGGCATATTTGGGGATGGCTCTGAAGTATATGTCTCTGAGCGTGAATACATGCACACACATTCAATTCCTTTCCGAAAGGTGTTAATTTCATAGTTTTTGAAGGCGTGCTGGAGTACTGTTATACTTGATGTCTTTGTACAAATAGTAATTTTTGTTTCTTTGAAGCAGTTTGGTCTCCATGATACTGGGGTTACTTAGGAGACCAACCACTGTAAATCTCCACATGTGTGTAACAGAGCTTCTCTAGAACATTTCATCAAGGCTTAAGTGACAAATGGGCATCTCAACTCCTAGATTTCAAGAAATGTAGGAGGCCATTGCTGAGAAATGCCCATTTTTCTTTTGCTTTAAATGTTGAAGCATAAAAACTTTCAGATCTGAAGTTCTGCCTTACATAGCTTTTTTAGGAAGTCAAATCCTAACCAGAAGCTTCATCTCCTTATTGGAATTTTTCTCCCCTCAGTAATTAGAGCAGATGTGAATAGTGGTCAGCAGATCTGCAGAGGTCATTGAGAGGACAATGGAACAAATAGCCAAGACCAGCTTGCAAAAAATAAATGACCAACAGGTTCAGGTTATCATGAGCTAGTTAAGCAAGTTCTAAGAAAAACCTTGTGCTTGCTTGATTTCTTTCAACGTTCACTTAGAATGTGAAAGTAGGTCCCTAGAACAGATTCAGGCCTTATTAGGGAAATTAACATGTCAAAACCTGAGATCAGGGGCTGGGGATTTAGCTCAGCGGCAAAAGCGCCTGCCTGGCAAGTGCAAGGTCGTGAGTTCGGTTCCCGGTACCGGAGAAAAACCAAAAAAAAAAAAAAAAAAAAAAACCTGAGATCATTATCTCCTCTTCAGTCTACCCAAAAGGGGAGAGACTAATTCAGATATATTGACTTTTCTATTTGCACATTTTCTATTCCTGTCCTTCCAACAATGTTTTAAATTTCAGTCACTTTTGACTTTGGAGCTAGTTCCACACTCTTGGGGTCTTACCTTCTCCTCCCTACATCGCTTTCCCCCAACTTGTAGTTTATTAGCACCCATCATCCAGGGGATTGCAGTGTCCTGATCTTATCCTCTCCTCTCAGCATTACTTTCCTCACCCAGTAGACTTCTTTGTTTATTTACTTCTTTGCCTTTTGTTTGTTTTACAAACTTCATTTTTGTACCACTCTCAGATGGATTTTTCTAAAGTATTCCTCTGTTGATCTTAAAACTTCTGCTCCAGAACTTTGTGTTTGTGCTTAGTCCTTCACCAATAAAATACCAAATCCTTAATCAACGTTCACACTATCTGAAGATGGCTTATACCCACCTTTGCAGTGTTTTTCATACCCTGTCCTTTGCTGATGAGTCTGACTTACAGACCATAAGGGTCTGACGTTTATTAACACCCCTTGGAATGGAGGTGTGTAAATTATTACAGCAGATTCTTTTGGAATGATGACGTAAGACTGAGCAACAGGAGAGCAAGTAGGAACTTGGCTTTACTCTCTCATTTGGGTTTTATTTCTATATGGCTTCAGTCAAGTTCTGATCCTTGGCTGGACATAAACTGAGAGCATACAAAAGGGGCCAATTTCACAGGGTTCTAGTGAAAGTTAAAAGAGAAAATAAATAAGACATGTTCCTAAATTGAAAACAGTTGGAGACAAGGTAATGATATATTGTTCATTCCTCTAACAGTTTCTGACTTGTAAAGATTAAAAAATCTGTGCCTGTAAGACAGTAGCACAAAGAATGTTTGCCTGTGCTGGGCAATGCAGATGCCACATGTGTGCAATGTGACCTAACTGAAATATGCTGTAAGTGTAAAAAGTACTTTTTAATTCCAAGCAAAATGAAGAGTTAATATAGAAAAAAAAAATGTAAAATAACTCAATAATTTCGTTATTGATCACATGTTGAAAGGATTTGGGTATATCAGGTTAAGTGAAATATATTATTAATATTATTTTCACTTGCTTTTTATTTAAATAAAAAATGATAAAAGTAGTACACACCTAGCTCACATTATATTGCTCTTGCACCATGATGTTTTGAGTCACTGAGTGGTGGTGGTTGTGGTATCAGAATTTTCTTCTTGTTTCCACTGCAGAGTTTGCTTGCTACTCATTTCTAAGAGAAAAACATCAGGGCGTGGCCGCAGAGCATTTTCTGCTCTGACTGTCTGTGGGTGGGCCAGTGCTGTACATAGCCAGAGCCTGTTTTAGGGGATAAAGATTGCACCAGGGATAAAGTTGCAGGGATTGGGAGATGGTTTGACCTATGAGAAGGAACAAGCTCTCTGACTTGCTCCTCTCCGTACTGTTGGCAGTCTTTAGCTGTCTGTAATAGAACTTTTTTGTTGAGTGTTATGGTTTGTGTCTAGATATCCCCCCAAAAGGCTCATGCAGTCTTGGGTGCAGGCTGCCAGAGTTTATGACTGATCCATGGTCCAATGCTGGGATTATGGGTGTGAGTGCTACACCCGCCCTGGGGCCTGTAGCTTGCATACAATGTGAGGGAGGGAAAGAGGCTTGCTCTCTCTGCTGCTCCTCCCTTTTTGACCTTGCTGCTTTTGCTGTCTTCTGCTGCCATGAACTGTTGCCCTCTGCCATGTGCCACTTTATCTTGGAGCCAGCCGAGTATGGACTGAAACCCCCACAAACTGTGAGGTAAATAAACCTTTCCTTCTTTAATTCTGGGCATCAGGTATTTTGTCTCAGCAACGAGAGAAAAGTAACCAAGGCACTGAGTAAGGGACCTTGTATTAACTTTGAAGTTGTGATTTCCTCAAGTGGAAATCTTTGTGATTTCCTCAGAGTGGAAATCTTTCCCTTTTCTTGTGCTCAAGGAGTCTTCAGGGATAGTAAGGAATGCAAAGAACAGAAGTGTTTGGTGGGTTTGTGATGGGGCCAGATCTTAGCTCCTAAGAGGTAAAAATTTTTAAGTCAGAATAAGTAAGGAACATGGACCTGATGTAGGCATAGAAGACTCTGGTGTCTTGAGCTGAACTTCAGAATATTAATGGTTAGTAGTGCATATGGGGCCAGGAAATTACAGATGTCAGTCTACCTCATCCAAGAGCTTTACATGTGTGTTTTCTAAATAAAAGTGCTTAGCCCATGACTGACACAGATAAAGTGCCCAGAATGTATGCATTTCTTTTCCTTTGGGGTGAGGTTTCTGGGCCATTCTCATAGGTGCTTACTTGACAGCAGAGGTGAGACAGCATGTCCAGGAGCAGGTAATGAAGAACGATGAGTTCTCTGTTACCAGAGCAGTATTGATACCAGCTTCAATACTTGTGATGTCTGTGATAAGCAACTTAGCCCTATCTATTCCACATCTGTAACATGGAGCTTTGTGCAGGAACAAATGAATTAACATAGGAGAGCTCTCGGGACAGTGCCTGGTGCATCCTTAGCACCCAAGCAGCAGTCATAAGTGTGAGTAGATTTGCCGGAGGGAACTGGTCCAGCCTCTTCACTCTTGCCCCGCTCAACTACCACAAAAAATATATACAGTGCAGATGCTGCTTTGATCTCAAGATTGGTCTAGGTGAGATAAAGCTAGTTGAAATTTCAACCCGGATATGTTTTTCCTATGACAAAGGTCGAGAAATGTTTTTAAATTCTATATTAAAAAGGGGGGAAAAAAGATCCAAGGGTTAGTTTTACTTCATTTGGCAACTGGTGTCATGGAACATAGGACCATTTGTCTCAGGGTGCTGCCGAGCACCCAGACTGCAAGCTGAGGGAGCTTGCGAGTTCTAAGCACCCACTGCTGGGTCTGGTTGGCTGGGCCCTGGGACTCGCTTAAGGTTCCCCTCAGTGTCTCTCTGGGCCTTGTGGAAGCCTGTTGTTCCTGTAGCTGCCTGGAGCTTCAGGCCGGAAATGAAAGTGATCTTGGCCCTGGAGAAGGCCCTGAAGGAGCTACTGATTGCCACCCAGCTTTCTGCCATCATTTAGTGAACAACTCGGGATGGGGGCTGCCTGCATGGGCTGTTGGGTTGCTGGGGATGTTCTCAAAGTGACTCATCAGTGATTGTGGGAGGGTTTCTTTATCTCTAGCGATTCTCCCCAGAGTTATTTTCTCCAGAGTGACATCACAGAATTTAGAATTTAAAACAGTGCTTTTCCTGGAATCCTGCTGGTATGACAGCAAGGACCGCGTGGCAGCCCCCATCTGGCACCAGCTCTCCCTTGTAAGCACAGCTCTCACCTTCTGCGTCCAAGGGCTTCTGTGTGGCTATTTCCTTCACCCCTGAATTATTATCTGGCATCAAAAATGCAGCTGTTGAACCCATTCTTTATAGCCTCTCAGGCTTTTTCAAATGCAGTTATTATCATCATTGTCCCACTTAATAGAAGTAAGCTGGGGGTAAAACCATCCCAGTTCACTTAACTGAAGAGGTGATTATGGCTAGACTTGAGGATGGTGACTCTTAACCCCTTTTCAGGAGTAAGGTCTCTGTCAGTGCGATCAATTCTGAACCAGCCCATCCTTGCCTAGGACTCTTGGGGAAGTAATTGTTAACTGGCTGCTTAAGCTCAGCCTCTGCTTTTAAATGAGGATGTCTGGAAACTGTTGTGGTAATTAGGGCTATTTTCAGTGGACCTGAAATACAGTGTCATGGTAACTGTACAGGCCTGAAATTTGGCAAATTGGTTTCAAATATGGCTCAGCTACTCACAAACATGTAGCCTTGGCAAATTTCTGAGGCTGCTTTGCCTCAGTATCCCCCTCTGTCCGGTGTAGAGAATGCTAGTAATTGGCTGCCTTCATATGGCTATTGTGAGACTCAGATGCACTAGTGTGTGGGAAAGCCTTAGCAAACCATGTAGGGGCACATAAGCCCTGAGTGAACTCCCATTATTATTATCATCATCATCATATCGTCAGCCCAGAGATCAGAGATGCACAGGCCTCTGACCTGTGTTGCTGCAACTTGTGAAAATGGTTAATTGGTCTTTTCTGATTATATGGGGGGTAGTGCACAGTTTGTTACACATGGATAGTTCTGACTCTATCAATAATTATATACATAGCCCTTATCTTTTTATTTTGAATTTTAAAATATTTGTGTTACTCTGGTTGGTTCTTTTTCTCTTTTGACCTAACCAAGCATCTATTCTGTAGAAGGTGTGTGTCTTTAAAAAAGGTGAAAGGAGCCAGGTGTGGTGGTGCATGCCTATAATCCCAGAACTCTAGGAGGTTGATGCAGGAGCATTGTAGGTTCAAGCCCAGCTTGTGTAACTTCTTGACCTAATAAGACCCTGTCTCAAAAATAAAAAGTGAAACAAAAAAGGCTGGGTATGTAGTAGTTCAGTGTAAAGGCATTGGGCTCAATCCCCAGAACCAGGAGGCGGGGATCAAAGGTTAATGATTTAGGATATAATATATATTATATTAGTGAATACAATATTATGCTATATTTCTATGAATGTGTGTGGTTTTAAAATCCCCACCACAGAGGTTAACGAATAGATTTTTTATTTATCAAATGTAAATTGATACATAAGTGGGTATGCATGCGTACATGTGCATGAGTATGGTGTTTCCCAGGGTTTTCCAACTGTCATGTGTGTCACACAGAGAGGGGATATCTGTGGAAGGAGTCATATTTCTTCATGAACCGCCACAGAGAAGCCAAGAGGCAGCAGACACTGATGATGACCCCAGTGAGTGTAATTGAGTAGATGCATTTCTAACTAACTGAAATAAAAAGATGTACAAATTAGACAGATTTCAATCCACATTTTACTCTTCAAACATATTCAGTGGGTCATCATGTTAAAATTGAATTCCTCAATTTATCCCTCCATATTAGAACTTTTTTCAGAGTATTCTAAAAATTTAACTATAGAATATGAAACTATATAAATACAGAAATATAAAAATACAGACAAGTTTTATTATCTTACTTTGCTTCTGAAACATAATGCTACAAAATTCAGTGCCGTGAAAAATGGTCGATAAATTTGACTACATAAAAATCTAAACTCTGCATAGCAAAAACCAGACAAACCACCATAGATTAAGATAAAAGACAAATGTCAAACTAAGGCCAATATTTGTAGCAAATAACATAAGTGTGACTAATATGAAAAGATCCTTTTAAATCTATAGGGAATGAATACTCCAACTGAAAAATGGATAAATTTTGTGACCAGGCAGTTTAAAAAACAAAGCATACAAAAAGCCAGTAAACATAGAAAAAAATCAACTTCTCAGTAATGAAGTAAACACACCAAACCCCATCCTCCCATATGCACACACAAAAATAACAAATCAAAACAAAATAGTTTTCACCCCTCACATTGGGCAAGAACAAGTCTGGCTCATGTTATACTTGGGAAATGTCAAGCCAGAACAGTTGTCCTGGAGCACAAAATAGTAATAGATACTACAAATTTAAATGAGAATGCCTTTTGCTCCAGAGTAGTACCTTGAGGAATTTCTGATCAGGAAATAATTGGACCACCTGTGTGTGGTACAAACCTGTGTGCCCAAGGGTCTTTCTCATGTTGAGGTGTCCATGAGGTAGAGCCATTAATGATTAAGGTACTCCACTGATATGGAAAGAAGTCGGCAATGTATTAGTAAATTTAAAAAGTAAAGGGATTTTACACAGTATATCTTATTTGTAAATTTTATTTGTTTAAAATATATGTAAAATTCTATATGAGTGCATAAAAGAAATGTTTGAAAGTCAGTCCACCAAAATATTAGGCATAGCAGTCACTCTGGGTTGAAGCTTTGAGCAATTCTTAATGTCTTCTTTGTATAGTTCTACCTGACTTGAAACTTTTATAGTTAAGATTTATCATTCAGTGCAGCTATTTATTTTGATAAATATAATTTCAATGTTTCCATTTTCAGAAGAGCTTCGGTTCTGTTTTCAATGCAATTTGACATTCCTCCCCTAGGAGAAAGCTCTATCAGTAGAAACAGCCTCAAGGTAACAGGGATCCGATTGATAGGTATGTTTGCCCAGGTAGACAGATGGGGTCTGATCCCCGGTGCCCAATGGTTGATTTAAAAACCGAGCATTTCACTTCGGTCTGTGAAACACTTGCTGACTGCCTTGTATGCCTTAGGCACCATGCTAGGCATCTGAGCCTCTGCCTATAAGGGACTGATAAAGGAACCCTAGGTGGGCATCTTAACACAAAGTGTCAGGAGCCTACGGCAGTAATGCAGAATCTCTTCCTGCAGGAGTAGGGGATGACCATAAAAAGCCTGGTTAAACTCTCTCCTGAGTCCTGAAAGATGAAGAGCGGAATGAACAACTGAGCTTGGCAAGGAGTTTTAGGCTGAAGGACAATATGCCACGGAGAGCCAGGGAAGCTTGACCAAACCAGTGGAGACATAACCAGAAAAACATTAGGGAAGGAGTCGTGAACATTTTGAAATTTTACATTGTAAATTTTTTTCCACAACACCGAAAAGTTTACACAGACTGTACAAGAATCATGTTAGCTGTGTGAAAGTTGGCTGAACATTAGGAAAACATTAGACAGATCATTCAGTGGATTTGATGCTAATTCCTTAAGCAGCCAGCTTCACCACAGGTTAGATAATTGTGGGCCCTTAGGTAGTAATTGGAGAACACGGTCTTGCAAGTGTGTTGAGCTGTGTTATCATTAAAGCGTGATAGATCCAGCTGAGACAGGGTGTAACAGGGTGGTGTCTGACCCCTGTGGGATTACATGTAGCTGTTACTTATTATTGCACATGCATTATTGTATGTGGGCACCCTAAAGTAATTTATTCAATATATCATATGTCACATGTTAGATATTCATGTATGGAGCCTCAAGAGGCGAGTAGGCTCTTGTGCTGCAGGTAAAGCCTGGTTCTTTGAACCCATCTTGAGAGGAGAAGATTGGGACACGGTGTGAGGTGTCTGTGGCATGTTCATCTCCAAGCCGCAGCAGAAAGCTTACCACTTACCCATCCCCGCTTCTCAGCATTCTTCAGCTGTGAACTATTTTCAGTCGCATAGTTTGTGACTATACATTAGTGTCACAGTGTAATTGTGTTTCTGATAACAGCATTCTAAACAGTGAGGAAAACTGTTTCATCCAGTTAAGTGTTCCTAAGGTAATAACGTTCAATCAGGGATTGTTGATTGGCCACTTACAAGGTTAGAAAGCTTCCGTTGGTGTGTTCCAGAACAGGTGCTATGCTTTTGTTGGGGGTGGATATAGAAGAAACAAAATTAGCCTATCCTCAGAGAGTTTACCCTGTTTGAAAAAAAAAGACAATATGTATGTAGAAGAAATCATTCAGCAGGAAATTGAGATTTGAAAACATGTAGCAAAGTGCTATACTGTGTGTCCCTTGGCCCCAAATATCCACCAGTGGACATCTCCATTGGTGTTCTGAATGTTTGTGTCCCTTGAAAATTTATATGTTGAAATCCTAACCCCCAATATGATGGTGTTAGGAGGTAGAGTCTTTGGGGAGGCGAGTAGGTCCCAAGAGGGCTCCTCCCATCATGAGGTTAGTTAGTGTCCTTAAAAGAGTCCCTAAAGACTGCCTTGACTTTTCCACTGTGTGAGGACACAGTAAGAAGGTGCCTTCTGCCACCCCGTTGATTTTGGACTTTCTAGCCTCTTGGCCTTTGAGAAGTAAATTTATTATTTGTAAGCCACCCAGGTTATAGTGTTTTGTTATAGGAGATGAACTATGATATGTGAGCAACAGGAAAAACTAGTGTATGTCTGCATTAGGAATAGGGAGCAGAGTAAATGAGATGAGGGAAAAAGACTTTTCCTGGTTGGAGAATTCAGTTAATAACATTATTTTGTGATCATTGATAATGAACTCTTTGTAGATGATGTATATAATTTAATTACATATCACTATGTAACATGGTGCCAAATACATGGTTGCTCAATAATTAATGAAGTTAGGACTAATGATAGTTGTTGTTTACCGGGCAATAATATGCGCGAGGGAGAGGGAGGTGTAAAAAGTTAAGTGACTTGCCTAGGTTTACACAGGTCGTGCTTTATAGGTCTGATCAGAAATTCAGCCCTAATTCCCAAATCTCAATAAACCAGTGAATAATGTGTGCTTTTGAGACCAGGGCAAAGAAACCACTCTATTAGTTGTGGTAAGGGACTAGGAAAATATACGAGATACAATTCTTCTGTGCCAGGAGCTTCTACTCTAGTGGAAGAACAAAGCCTTGGA